TCGCAGGTGTTGGCACTGATTATCAATTTTGATCAGCGGGTTCATGCGAGGTCACTTGCCAGAGCGGGGAAATGAGCAGAGAGAAGAGGTGCTCGCAGGTGATATCCGCAGTCAAATATTGGGTAGTGGGTTGAAAGATTTCTGGATTATGACCTTCCGCGGCCATTTTGTGTGTGCTCTGGTACTCTAAACCTATAAAGTTTGTCATTCAAGGCCAGAACTCAGTCACTGTCGGTTAGCTCTGCGGAACTACTGAGCAGGGGGTCGGTCAGGGGCTATGAATCACGAGAATGGGTATACAAGGAGCTGCGAAGGGCTCTTCAAGCTGTGCAAGGCCAGAATTCAGATTCATTCTGACCCTCAACCTATACTCTAATTATGTGCGGACCTTTATGGAAGACCTGATCACTCTGCTCCATATCAAGCACTGACAGTTACCGTATGAAATGCTAACTCGTCTCCGCACAATCTAAACTGTAGCTAGGTTTCAAATACAAAGATTCAAAGGCCCGCTGCAGATGCTTATAAAACAATCGAAACATCCAGTAATAGAGGAATCAAATTGTGTGGGCTAAGTTGCATGCGCAGGAGCTCCATCCTAATATCCACCTGCCTGAAGTTGAAGACTGCCTCAGAGGGGCGATCGAAGGCCAGGAGAAGAAGGAGGGGCATGCTTGGAGCATTCTCCACGACTTCACATGTTGCTTGTCGTTTCTGCTGCAATTCGTGGTAGATTTTAAGACTAGGAAATGGGAAGAATGCACAATCGTTGTCCCAGAACTCGTCATCGCCTGTGACGATATCACGTCCCACCCGGAGGACATAACGCAGATCCTCGACACCAGCCATGCGGGGTCACGTTTCTTGCCGCTCCCTGTTTGCGCCACTCCAAGCTGCCCCCCCCCCCCCGTGCCCTCCACCCGATATCCACTGCATTCGGGAGAAAACCAACCGAAAGGGTACAACAAAACGCGTCGTGCCCCAATTCTGAGACACCAAGCAGCCGCCTATCTCACAAATCGCAGCAACGTCACTCACTTCACCACCACCACTACCAATTCACTGTAACGTAACGATGGGCGTTTCAGCAGCCTTTGCAGCCGATTCTGAATGGCCATTGTGGGACGATGAGCCTCTAGATGGTGCTTTCGAGATCGACTTGCCTGGAGGGGTCATTGACCAAGGGGTTGTTTCGAGTGTTACACGGCCATGGCTATTCGGATACAAGCCCAAGATGTCCAACGGGCGCGCCATCCTCATCCTCGGTGGTGGTGGCTATGTTGAGCTGATGGCTGGCAAAGAGGGAGTCGTGGTCGCCCGTTGGCTTGCGTCACTCGGTTTCGAGGCTTTCGTGCTTGTTCATCGCTTTCCTACGGCTGCCACAGGACCTCAAGCTCCAATTGATGACGCAAGACAGGCGTTGCGATTGATTAGCGATCGGGCCGATGTGCCAAAAGGATTGGCAGTCTGTGGTCTATCATCTGGCGGTCATCTTGGCTCGGCGCTGCTCGCCGAGTACCCGGCTTCTTGGGTCTCTACCGCAGGAGGGCCAGTGCCGAAGCTGGACTTTGCTATCATTGGGTATGGACCAATTTCCACAAACGCAGTTGGACATACTATCATCCCGAATAAGGCCCCTCTTGAACCTCCCGCAAAACAGGCGCTTTACGACACTGTCATCCCGGATCAGCAATTATCGAATCTGGCACCGCCAACCTTCATTGTCTACTCTAACAACGATCCCGTCGTTCCTGTGGTCAACGCCTACCGTCTGGCGCAATCCATACAGGCGGCTGGAGGCCCCGTTGAGCTTCACGTCTTTGCTGACGCGCCACACGGATTCGCTCTGAATACTGGATCTGAAGTACCCGTCTCAAAGTGGCCCTCTTTGTGCGAGGCATGGTTGAGACAGTTGGGTGTTTTGGAGTAAATGGTCTTGACCTTCCGTCACACAAGATAATACACTCACAGTCATGTATGGAATCAGGTTTTGCAGTACGGCAAGTTTGTTTTGACTTCAGATCAATTGTGCTTTCTGAATATCGGTCAATCAAAAACAATCTTAATCCATCCGCATCCAAAAGGCTGTCATCATGCGTCATATTTCAGACCAAGCGCCTTCGTGATAGCAGGCACAATGGTCCCCTGGTTCCAATTCCAAATTAAGGCACTGTTGTGTCCGGCAAACGCCGCCCCGGTGAAATATGTGTTCCCGGAACCTTGCAAATCCACCAGCTTCCGGTAGAAACCGTTCTTGATGTCTTCGGCTTTGCAGCGTACGTTGTAAGGCGTGTGGTTGGAGGTGTACGGGAATGTGACGTTCGACGCTGCATCTGCTGGGACAACACCCGCGGCAGCAAGGGTAGCAAGATTCTTGCGGACAAGGTTCTTGCCGTCCTCATCTGTCACGTCGCCGGTATCAAATCCTCCTCCAATAAGGAATTCGTTGGGGGAGCCTGTGGAGCCGAAGCCATTGTTGCCAGGGATAATGGGCTGGTTGAAGGGAGTCAGAGCACCGATGTTGGTGAAGCTGCCGTTGAACCCAGGAACACTCGCTACGCCGGCGAAGTAACCCAAAGAAGAAAACTTGGAGAAGATTTCCTTCTCCTGAATGGAGAGGTCGAAGGCTATCATATTCTTCAAAGTTGGTGGGATAGCCAATAACAGTTTCTGGGCAATGATTGTCTTGGGACTTTTGCCAGACTCAACTACTACCAAAGTAACACCAGTCGCGTTAGAGTGACGGTCAACGTTGAGTATAGTAGTGCTTAAGAGCACATTGGAACCGAGTTCATTGAGAGCAGAGTCGTATAGACTCCTGGTGTCGCCCGTGCCGGACAGGATGAACTCGCCGAAGAGGCTGCTCAGCAGACCAGGCCCGAGGCCCTTGATACCATAAAGTGCCGGAAGGGTTGTGAGGTTCCCCGTATACCAATTGAATTGTGCAATGACTGGTAGGAGAGCCGAAAAGTTGTACTTTGCTGCGAACTGACCAAAGGGCTCATACAATTCTGTTGGGACAGGATCAGGGACTAGGAATCCCTGGTCGATCCATCCATACTTGCTGAGCACATTCTGAGTGTAAGCCTGAGCGGCGGCTTGAAGGACTTGCTGCTGTGCAGCTGCGGCGGAAGCGCTTTGGGCTGGAATGGGAAATCCCAAAGCAAAGTCGAACTGCCGTGATGCACTTGTTGTGGCCAGTACGTTGGACGTCGTAATTGGGACCTTGAGGCGATTGAAGTATCGCTTCACTAGATCTGTATTCTCGAAGAGGACGACACCGACGTTGCTGACAATGCCGGTTTCATTATTTTTGTAAGTTTCAGCGTGGCCTCCGATTTGGTTTTTCTTTTCGATCACCAAGACCTTTGCACCAGCATCCTTCAGTTGTATGGCGGCGTGAATGCCCCCGGAGCCGCCGCCAATGATTGCCACGTCAACATAGACGGCTTTGGCCTTGCAGCCGAGATCAGGGCGACCATTGTGGCCACCGATGGCTTTGCTGGGGGTTGCAGATACGCTCCCGAGCCACAGGGGCCAGGCGATGATTGGCGACAGTCTCATGTTGTACGAACTGCAGAAAGTTATGATCAAAAGGCTCTGCCTGGCTGAGCAGCAGCGCAACCCTCGCATTAGCAAGAGTCGGGCCTCTGTATTTATAATGCGGCATTATGGGCAACAGGGACTCCTTAACAGTCTTGGCTTATAACATGCCGGCACGTCATGGTCATTCTCGGTGCGTCATGCCAAAAGGATTACTGCGCCTGTGGGCTGTACACGTGAGTCCCTAATCAGAAATGAAAATACCGGTGTCTCGGGGCAGCACCAGTCATCCGAGAGCTCCGAAAGAGGGTACACGTGCGAATTAAACCTGATAGCTACGGCCAGGAGGGCCATAGGATCGAGTCATGGGGCAAGACAAAACAGCTGGAGGTGGTGCCTAAATGCTGGGATGTCTCATTTAAGACACGTTAAAGTTCAACCTATTGAACTCATCGGACGTGTGTCTCTGTATGCGGCTTCGGAAGCACGGCCGGTAAATGAGTTGCCACGCGTCGGGGGCTATGTTCAGGGGAGGGATTCCCTTAATTGGCCCAGCTTCACTTGAATGCAACATTAGATTTTCGGGATACCAGCTACACAATGCCACCTCGCAATGTTCCAGGCGTACGCAATGCAATTTGTAGGTCAAGTCTCACAAACAGACCGAGCAGATCCCAGGAGCTCACAGTTTTGCTGTATGGAGCGAACGCTGTTACATTTGACGTACCACTGCTTACGTCAAGAACTCTGCCTGCCCCGTACTGACACGACGATCTAACCTCGGTATAGAAATGGGGGATTATCTTCAGAAAGATCGACCGTGCTCCATGACCGTGTTTTGGCTCTCCACAACGATATAGTCTACCCCTATGATCATTCGGATCGATTCTGGGTCAATAAAGTTTGCCTCGTCAGGCTGAATCTTTTTGAGGTACTCTGGATCGCTTCCCATCGATTGGAAAGTCTCCAGGTTGTGTACCCAGAATTCTGCAGCGCCGTCGAACTCGAGAATGGGCGGTGCGTTCTCGACACTGCCGAAGTCACGGAATTCGGGCGTCGAGTGGTACTATGAACATCCCCTACTGCGTTAGGCATTGTATTGAAGAATTCAAGGGTCTGGACACCCATACCTGGGAATACTTCACCACACCCAGGCGAAGATGAAAGGGTGTCGCCAGTTCGGCGTGATTGTAGGCCCAATAGCGATTGAACTGCTCTTGCGTGATACCTTGCTTGCGGTTGTAGAAGAGTTTTATGTGGAACATTCGCTCCATACCCATAGTGCAAGCAGCTTTGTATGTCAAGCAACAGCACTGGTCCGGAGCGCCGGGCATGGCCGGGACGGTAGTATTCGCATGGGGCGCACACTTGCCATAGGTGGCACTTACAAGTGAAGTAACGGACAGAGCGGCGGCGAACTTCATCGTGATGTTGCAATATGAAGAGTTTCCGTACGAGCAGTGAATGAGAATAGGCTAGTGGCATACTACGTCCAAGAGATGGTGATGGTGTTATATACATTGTTTCTTCTTTGACTCTTGTTAAGCTGACAATACACCCGTCTAAGAAGAGGTTCCGTGACGACTTGGGCAGCGTCCACGCCTGTCAGCATGCGCTGATGAATTCGCGTATCCTCGCCCAATTCCATCACAGGTGAGGCGCGAGGCGCGAGGCGCGAGGCGCGAGATGCGAGATGCGAGATGCAATAAGCGATGGTTACTGCAGCGTCAATCAACGTAAGCTGACACTCACAGCTGTGCAGACCGAATACTCCTGAGATTCATGTAGAGTACTTTTAGTCGTCTGCCGGGGGGGCGGAGGGGGGGCTTTGGGCGTTTGCTTTGTCTGTCATTCGCTCCAGGTGAAAGCAGTGATCCTACTCGATCCAAGTCACAGGTGATACTATTGCTAAAGCCCCAGCGTCATGGATTCGCGGCGGAAGCCGAAAGGCAGGAGGCTGAGGGTGCTGCAACCAAGAGCGTCTCGTTCGTTTTCTTTACACAAAATACTGTCAGCTCGGGTATGCATCTCGCAACTGCTTTGAATTTCCTCTGGAACTCTACTGTACATTGGAGCCAAACTTAGAGCACTAGCTTCGAGTGAGAAACCTGGCAAACGGCGGTTGCCCCTGTAGTTAATAACAAGTACGCGTATCGAAAGATCAAATATATGAATCCACTGGGGCGCAGCGCCAGTCAGTGGCCATTCGTGGCCACCCAAATGTGGTTGATGGCTGCAATTCGGTACGGGCCAGAAGCTGAAGCTTAAGTAGGCAGCGCTGCCATCCGTTCATCACGCAATCTTTGAGGTCCAGGGCCGAGCCAGCAAACCCAGACCTTGATGTCCTGTCAGGTTGGTTTGGGCTTTGTAACGGAATTACGATAGAATTCCGATGGAAAGTTAAGAGAACGTAAAGGCGGAGGTCTCGTTTTCATTTCAGGTTTCGGCTTGTTCGGGTGCCTGCTAAAACAATTAGGGTCTAATATGCTGCCTTGATCAAAGTATGGGTACCTAACCTTAACTCCGAGAGCATGGGCGCAGTGGAGCTCAGAGCCGTCTAATAAGCCGTCTCTATGCGCTTTCCGGGACCCATCTGGAGACTTATGACAACAGTCAGCCATCCCACAGCTGCACCATCGAACACATTTGCTTTGGCACCATCGGATACATTTGCCGTAATGCAAGCTGGGTCATATTCAGGAATTCTCTTGGCAAGATATGTAGGGGGTAGCCCTGAAATTGGGACCCCCCGCAGAGCATTGTCAAATTACATGGCGTCAACCCAGGACATCAACCCTGATTAGGTCTAGCTTTTCATTAGCCACGATGATTCATTCTGAGGCAGCACAGATGCGCCAATGAGAGTACTTGCTTCACGACGCCACTTCTTAGCATCTACGAGTCTCACATTTTCATGGTCCTGAATGCGATGAATTGGGGCTTCACGGTACTCTGTGCCCCAAGGTGTTCGATTCGAGATGAAGTCAAAACATATATATTTATTATCGGTCAAAGCATGCTTTGTGTCAGGTCTTTTCTACGATACTAGATCATACGAACATTGCCGCCTTCACCTGCTTTCCCAACCCCCAAACAGCTCTTAGCTTCACAACACCACAGTAAATCTCACCAGCCTAGATTATCATCGATATGATAGGCGGAACAACCACCGGAAGCGGGTCCAGCAGCCCAGACAAGCTTTCAGAACTCATCGGAACACCTAGGGCGGACCCCGTTTTCGATCACGATATATGCTTATTCTGCAACAAGCTCTCCGAATCATTTGATGACAACATGAAGCACATGCAAAAGGTACACGGGCTTTTCATCCCATATAAGAAGCGCCTCATTGTGGATCTTGAAACTCTCTTCTCCTATCTCCACCTCATCATCGTCAGACACAACGAATGCATCTGCTGTGGAACGCAGCGGGCTAGCACGCTCGCAGTACAGCAACGTCAGTTAACCTCGAGCCTCAGGCGTCATGAAAGTGATACTGACAAATCTACAGACATGGTTGGAAAAGGCCACTGCAAGTTCGATATTGCCAGCGACGACTCGGAGTTTGCAGACTTCTATGACTTCTCCGGCTCAGAGGCGGGGAGCGGAGTAGACGAAGACGCAGACGACAGTGCACTCCCGAGGAAAGATATAGTCGAGAATCGCACAGTGCAGCCTGACGAAAATTCGCTCCGATTGCCCTCAGGTAGAGTCATCTCTCACCGATCTCAAATACAAATAAATCCCCGACGACAACTTCTGAAGCCACGATCGCCTGGCAGGTCAGATCTGATAAAGGATGGACCAGCAAGCGACATCAACAGCTCAGCACCTACGACTTCATTATCAACGTCATTAGTCAGTCGTTTCGGCAAGGATGCCCTTGCGCAGACGAGAGCTGATAAGAAGGAGTACAAGTTCGCGAAACAGCTGGCTTCGCTCAACAAGAACGACGAGAGGAGTCTTGCTCACTTGCCATTGCCACAACAGCGGGCAATTCTGGCTACTCACCAGAAGCAGATTGAGAAGGCACACCGAGCAGAGGAAAAATATCGGGGGCGACTGGAAAGTCTTGGAAACCAATTTTTGATGACGCATTTCGTCAAAGATGCCGCTGACAAGAGGACCTTGTGGAAGTGAGCATGTCAGCGTATCAGGAGTGGCGGTCGAGATGTGATCTGTACTATTTTGAACCTCTAGCAAGCGTTGAATGAGATGGGCTGTCCTGGATTGCATGCTAAGATTAAATGGATGCGTCCAGTTGTGTCCAGTGAGCTCAAACACAGCTCTGAGCATCCTCGACTTCTAAGTCAGCGGCACCACCTTGCTTCCTCTCAGCCTGTTCCAGTCGCAGCTCCATGTCATTGGAGTAAGCTTGCGAAGGGTTCATGGTTGGAACAAAGTATGGCGCTTCCGTGAACAGATAGCGCATCTCTTCAAGAGGACGACGAGCGGTTTCGGGGAGCACACACCAGAAGTATATGGCGTTGGTAGCGTTGCACACCTTTGAACGTTAGCCGTTGCCTCAGTGTAGCTTCATGACCAGGAAGGACCCACGATGAATAGAATATACCATCTCCATCCGATGCCGGTATTATCGTCCAGGGCCACTGACGTCGTCTGTGCAATCATTGCGTTGAATGCAAGATTGACGGCCGTCGCAATACTGACACCTTTGGCCCTGGTCTTCATGTCGAATATCTCTGCAGGAATAATCCATGACAAGGGACCACACGTGGCGCTGAAGGAGAAATTATAAATCCAAGTCATGACGATGAATGCCCAGCTCGCTGCCTTATTTCTGCCGCTCTCATCAGGTGGGAAAGACGCCAGGAGGGCGGTGGAAACGATAAAAGTAACGCAGTTGCCAATATTGCCCAAGATGAGGGGCCAGCGACGGCCAAGCCGATCTACCAAAACCATACAGAGACCCTGCGCGCACAGAGCCAAGATGTTGGAGATGGCTTGGTACATAAGGGTGTTGTTTGTCGAGATGCCCATCTTGCTGTAGATAGCCACACTGTAATATTGTATAGCTGCCACGCCAGTCATCTGAATAGAGGCCTGGACCGAACAGGCAATCCAGAGACGTCGCAGGCAAGACTTATCGCGGAAAAGTTCCATGTAGGACTTTGCCTGAACCTCGTGTTCGACGCTAATGGATTCCTGAATCTGAGCAAATTCGGCTTGGACCCAGGCATCGTTGACATTTCCATTGGAGTGGAGCTTGGCAAGAGTCTTGAGGCCATCCTCGGCCTTTCCGTGATCAATAAGCCATCGGGGTGACTCTGGGAAAAGCATGATCAAGAGGGCGAGGACGCCAGCTGGGATGTTTTGCAATCCAAGGGATACCCTCCACTGGTTCTCGTTATCATCAGAGACGCCGACAGTCATGGCATAGGAGAACCAGGCGGCGAAGAGCGCACCGACGCCCAACATGAATTGTTGAAGCGCAGTGACAGTGCCTCTAATACTTGGATGTGCAAGTTCGGCCTGATAAACGGGAATGACTGAAAACGAGTCAGCAAGACCTGGACAAGACCATTAAAAACACAGGACATACTCATAACCATGGCTCCGATTCCAAGGCCACCGATCCCACGGCCGGCCATCATATACGCAGTGTTTTTCGCTAATGTCTGCAACAGGCCCCCGATTATGAAGACGACGGCACCAACGAGGATGCAAAGCTTACGACCAAGTCTGTCGGCCATCGGGGCAGCAGCCAGGGCACCAAAGAAGGCGCCACCCGTGAAGATAGACACGATGCCTCCGATTTCAGCAGGGTTGTCGCCGACGCGGTCCAGGAAGGATGGAGCGGCGATGACTTGGGCGATGACACCGAGATCGTAGCCATATGTCAACGAGCCAAGCGAGGCGAACACGCCGACGAGCCACTGATATACTTTAGGAGGGAGGGCCATGGCGATTCCTTGAAGCGATGATGTATCTCTTGGACAGCAGCAACTGAAGAATTTCGGATCGAACAGTGCGGCCGTATGGCTTTATGTATGATCGGTCCGCACAGAAACCTAACCATATGAACGCTAGAAGCACCGCATGCCAAGTTTCCAGTGTCGCTGGAAATCCCACCTGTATCTCGGAAGGGTGGAGTGGGATCTGCGGGCCAAAGAGTCACTGGCCGGCCGGCGGGGCAATCCTTCGGGGGCTGCGTGGCCCACTGCGACGACAGTCGTCCTGGCTCCGGTCATGAACTCCGATCATTAGAATGATGGCCCAGGCGGCAGTACGTTCAGTGTAGGTCAGTGAGGATGGTCACAGGTTGTGTATGTAACTCCCTACGTGTTGATAATGGACATCGTCGGCTGCTGCAGGCATTTAGGTACGTAAGCAGATCCATGTCCTCGGATGATTTCCGTCTTGTCTTTGCCGATGCCGTGCTTCATCCGAGCGCATCGGTAAGACCACAAAGCAATAGCAGAGTAGCAAGTCCTAAAGCAAGGCATGACAGATGCCAAGGGAAAGGGCTTACTTTAACCAGAAACATCCGCACTGAAGCAAGCCACAAGCCGTCGAGAGTATCTTCGCCGTCATCCCATCATGGCCGTGTCAAGTGCTGGCGAAGTATGCACGCGGAGGTCGAATTCGGCGCTGCGCGAAGCGCGCCAATCGGAACATCGGGGCATTGGTACCCAGGCTAGCCTGACATCAATTCCCATCAATTCAACAGCGTTGCCGGATTCATAAGCCCTGACTCGCGGGTGGATCAAGGATCAGGACGAAGACAGCAGACAGCATGGCGGGTCAGGTTATCTGAGCCAGTGGGAAGAAATGGCTGGGATGTCTTGGTCAATATCGCAAACCTGAGGTCACTGGCACGGCTTCATCAAGGCACATTCAACGAGCCCACACGTTCCCCGCCGACTCGGGCCATTGTCGACCGCGCCCCGGGACGCCATCATGCAGAATTTGGGGCGCATGTCCCCGCCGTCGACCCCGCCGACTGGGCACTGGCTCGTTGCCCCCTTCTCCGCATCTTGAGTACACGCGCCTCCGCTCCGGCAAACGATCCTATCATCGGCGCGGGTCCTGTCTGGCACAGGGCTGATAAAACACAATGGTTCCTAACACCTCGGTCTCAACAACTGATCTCTCTCTGGTCTTCTTTCTCATAAATCTACTTCTTACTGTTACTCCAACCATGACCACCTTCACGAAACTCACAGACGAGCAGCAGCCCGTCATCTCGGTCAATCCTAACCACAAGATTGCCAAGATTGAAGACAATACCTATGGCGGCTTCACTGAGTGAGTTTCCGCTTCGCGCACGTCACACCAGTAGGCCCTGTGACTGATTCTCGAACCAGGCACATGGGCCGTTGCATCTATGGTGGCCTCTACGACCCAGGCAGCCCCCTGTCTGACGAGAATGGCTACCGCAAGGACGTGATTGAGGCCTTCCAGGAGCTCAAGTGCCCCGTTGTGCGCTATCCCGGCGGCAACTTCATCGCGACCTACCACTGGCAGGATGGCGTTGGCCCTCGCGAGAAGCGGCCCAAGAAGTGAGTGACGAGACCGAAGCAGAGGTTTTGAGAGTCCAGAGATTGACGCGACGAAGGCAAGAGCTGGCGTGGCACGGTATCGAGACAAATGAATTTGGAACGGATGAATTCCTGCGATGGTGCGAGGTCGTCGGCACCGAGCCATACCTGGCGCTCAACTTTGGCACGGGCACGCTTGACGAGGCTATGGGTTGGCTCGAATACTGCAATTCGACGGCCGACAGCCATTACGCGAACCTCCGGCGACAGAACGGCCGCGAAGAGCCCTACAACGTCAAGTACTGGGCGCTGGGCAACGAATGCTGGGGTCCGTGGCAGGTCGAGCAGATGACCAAGGAGGACTATGCCAAGAAGGCATGGCAGTGGGCCAAGGCGCTCAAGCTCCTCGACCCGAATGTGCAATTGATTCTCTGCGGCATGGAGGGCCCGACATCTTGGGACGCCTACGTTACCAAGGAATGTATCAACTACACAATGCATGCGCTCGGAGACAACTCAGCCTCATGCCTCATTGACATGCACAGCATTCACATCTACACGGCGTCTCCTGAACACCTCAAGAATGCTACGGCGCCGCGGTCTGCCGAGCGTGCCATTGAGATCACGGCCAGCCTCATTGATCTTGCACGAATCGAGAACAAGATCCCCAACAACATTCCTCGTCAGAAGATTTGCTTTGATGAGTGGAACGTCTGGGATCCCGTGAGAGCGCCGGGCTGGCTTGGCGCTGAGGAGAAATACACCTTGTCAGACGCCCTTGCTGTGGCTGTCTGGCTCAACGTCTTCATCCGCCAGGCCAAATACATCGGCATGGCAACAGTTGCGCAGTCTGTCAACGTCATCTCTCCTCTTATGACGACCAAAAACGGCCTCCTCAAGCAGCCAACGTGGTGGCCCCTTCTGCTTTTCAGCAAACATATGCGCGGCCAGACAATCGGCGTCAATGTCCAGTGCGGCGAGTATGAGGGTCAGACAAAGCCCGAATGGATTCGCGGCACCATTGAGACACCGTGGCTCGACGTCAGCGCGTCCATCAACGACGAGGGCATCGTTTCGCTTGTCGTTGTCAATATCCACGAGACCAAGAGATTCGCGACCAAGCTCGAGGGCGTCTCCGGCAAGATTGATGTCTTCACGGTGGCGGGCCCGAGCATTGACGCGGTCAACACGGAGGAGAAGGAAGAAGTCGGCATTGCCGAAAGTTCCTGGGATGGACAGGGCCTATATGAGTTCCCGCAGGCGTCCATGACCATGCTGCGGTGGAAGCCATAAGCGAATGGCGTGCTTGTAGTGCAGAAGGTTGATACCACAGCGTGAGGGGGAGCCAGGCGAAGAATAAATCAATATAATTGTAAAGTGTTTCATCGTGAGTGATCCGAGTTCTATCCTGGTTTCGATTCTACGGGCCTTCCTGGTCTTCGGAAAGGGTGCGCCTCGGTATTAAAGACGTAGTCGTCGAGGCTAATGAGGTCCTCTGGTGAGAACAGTAGGTAAAAGTATTTTAATGTTTCGGCCGTCCAAAAGCTCTGCGATAGAATCAGCATCAAAGAACAAGAGATGAACAGTCATAGTACTCCTACCTCCATTGAGTCCAGCTTCTGGGTGTCGCCGTTCACCATCACGTCAGCAATGGCTGAGTAGGCGAACTCAGTTTTCGTGGCCTTGTCGATAGCCATGAACATTTGTTGCCCTAGACGCCTCCACTCGGCATCGCCTGTCATGCGGTACAGCAAGAAGACACTTTCAATGGCCTCTGGTCGCAGGATATACCGCGGATCGCGGGCATGGGTGAAACCTTTTGGCAAACCAGGCGCGGGCTGGTCGTCTCGGAGGTTGTCGCGCCACTTTGCTTCGTCCCATTGACATCCCTCAAGCGACTTACAGGGAACGACACCGAAAATCTCGGGCATGATGCCCGTGGGGAACGCGGAATACCCCCAAGCACATCCCCTGGCGAGACGCTTGCCTATGGACACGTGCTCAGGGATGCCGAACAGCTTGCCACCGAGCGCAAACATGCCACCAACAAAGCACGTCAGGTGCTGCGTTTCGGGGTTGCGTCGCACCTTGCCAGGTTCGTCCACAAAAGCGGTGCCCACGAACAAGATGTCAGCTCCGTCTGGAACCATGGGCCTTATGAGAAGGTATGATTCGACAACGTCCATGGCGTCGCGGTACATCTTCTCGTAGGACGCGTCGAGACCCCCTAGCAGAGCATACATCTTAGGGAGGTACTCGTACAAAGAGTCGGCCAGAGCTCCCAGAGTAAATTCGTTGTACACATCGACCGTCTCTTCGCGAAAGTTGATCAGCGCCGGCCACATGCCCGGTAGGCGGCTCGAATGCTGGGTGCGACCCAGGAAGAGCTTGACGCGCTCAATGGCATCAAAGTATTTTGTGTCGCCTGTAAGCTGAGAGAGGCGAGTGAATTCGAGGGACAGCGAGCAGGGAGAAGCTGAGGGGTCTGAAGTGCCGGCGATGAGACGGCCGTGCTTGGCTAATTCAAAATCGAGCCAGAAAGGTGGCAGGCGGTTTGGAGTATCAAAGGAGGCGTAGAGCATGTCCCCAAGCTCGACAGCCTTAAAAAGGAGACGCGCGTCGTTGGACAGGTCGTAGGCGCTCAGCATGCCGCCAAGGTGTCTGATGGTCGTCTCAAACACGTTGGCAGCGGTTTCGGTCGTGTTGGCCCAGTCGAGGCGGGCAACGACGGCGACGGCCTGATCAAACTCAGTCTCGAGACCCATGATCCAGAGAGTGTCTAGAGAGTCGACGAGCGTAGCAGCCCATCCGCCAAAGGTGTTTCGCCCGGCAGCCGAGACGGGAACCAGCTCGTCAAACTGCCAGGCGTACTTCTTGTAGCTCGCCCAGCATTTCTGAAAGGCCCTCCTCACTTGTTCAGCTAGGGCATCGGCGGCAAGGTGGGCTTCGTCGGCAATATCGGAGGTTCGTGCAAAGTCGTGCTGCACGCGAGGCAGGTTCTTCGGTTGGCCGGCCGGCAGAGGGTGCATGGAAGAGGGTGCCACAGCGTGGGTGTGGACGTGCTGGCTCCAGTCGAAGCTACTCCTGACGACATAGGAACCAGAGCGCAGGATGAAGAAGATGGTCAGGGCGAGGAGGAGAAAGGCGGCGATGGCCATAAGGCGCCTCGACCGGCGACGGGACCTGTAGGAAACCGCCATGAGGAGGGAGGAGGTGGTCGGACGGATGGCATTCTGGGGGACCTGGAAATTGGGAGGACGGGGGTTTCCTCGATCAACAGGACCCGACCGACGCGTGGAGGTTTGCATGGGCAGTGGCAGGTGCAGGCGCTGGCACTGGCACACGCGCTCGAAGCTCAGCCTACCCGTCTTGGTTGGCAGCTATTAGGGGGTGCTTGGTTAGTGAGCTCTCCCAGTCCACAGTGGCACGTGGGGGCCGCTTCGACGCCAGACGCCACGCAGCCTTGTTCAGCCACACGCACAGCAAATATTGGGCAAGTCGGTGTAGAGAGGGGAGGGCTGGCAGACACTGGCCCATAACATCAGAACACCAAAAGAATCATCAAGAAGCAGTTCTAGATCAATATACCGTCCACACAAATCAACAAACCAGCGCCAGACTGAGTCGCGTAGATGCAATACATACTGGCCTTTTCACTGCATCGACTGCCCACTGGGAGTCTAGCTCGAGGCCACAACAACTACGGGGGAACATGCGACTCCCTGGCTTGGTGCTAAACCTTTGACCGGCATCGCCTTCAACTAATCACCCGCAGACTTTTTTCAGCGGGGTGTTCACCAATCGCCAAGCGACCACCCCAAGAACACCGCCGCCCGCCACTGGGTCTGGAAGTCCAACCAATAGTGCACTGGTGATGACCCGGCGCCCCTCCGGATCGCCTTAGCGTTGCCAGGGTCCAGACCCGCCGGATCGTCCCGGTGGTCAGGGTGACTCGAACTCGCGATGAGTCTTTGCGATAAGAAATCTTCATCGCCGCCCGCTTAATGTCGGGGTACTTGTAACTCCGCATATAGCTGCGAGCCACGAGCCTCTTGAGTCGTCCCAAGCGTATCTCGTTCTTTGAACACTACCCTTTATGATTACAGCCATGGACGTCGAGACAGCAAAGCAGCAGGCGCCTGCCGTCGCCTCGCCACTCGAGGATAAGCCGACTCACGATGCGCCGGAAGCCGGCCGTGGTACCCTCAAGACGTTGTTCCGCAAGGCTCTTGTCTCTGGTCGTGTAGAGGAGCGCGGTGTCGAGCCCATCGCCCTCGAGGAGCGCAACTCGACGCGCTACTTCAACTGCTTTACCATCTGGTTTTCCATCAACTTCAACATTCTGCCGTACGCCCCTTCTCAACCTCACTTCCACTCCTCACGCCCCGCAATGACTGACACCCTACACAGTATCACTTTTGGTCTCATTGGCCCCAAGTACAGTGGTCTCAGCTTCCGTGACTCTGTCCTCATCATTGTCTTCGTTATCCTCTTCGTCACTTTGGCCCCCGCCTACATGGCAACTCTGGGTCCCAAAACTGGCATGCGACAGATGATCCAAGCTCGATTCAGCTTCGGCCCTTACCTTGTCGCCATCCCCGTCATCCTGAACCTGGCCACGCTCACCGGCTTCTGCATCATCATGTTTGTCGTGGGCGGTCAGTGCATCTCGGCCGTCACTGACGGCGCGCTAACACCGACCCTCGGTATCGTGCTGATATCTCTTCTCGCTCTGACCATCTCCTTCTGCGGCTACAAAATTCTGCATTTTTATGAGACCTATGCCTTCATCCCGGCACTGATCGCTATTGTCATCGCCACTGGTACCGGCGGCTCTAAGCTACATGAGCGTGTCGAGGTCCCGACGGCCACGGCCCCACAGGTCCTAAACTATTGCATGATCATCGCCTCGTACATGATCCCCTGGGCCTGCATCGCCTCCGATCTGACGACCTACTTCAGCCCCTCAGCCCGTGGAGCGTCTTTCCGCGTCTTCGCATACAGTTACCTCGGTCTCATTCTACCAGCCATTCTCCTCATGACCCTCGGTGCCGCTATTGGGAGTGCCATTCCCAATGTGCCGGCGTGGAGCGCCGCATATGACGAGACTCTTGTCGGCGGTGTCTTGGCCGCCATGCTTGAGCCCGCTGGCGGCTTTGGCAAGTTTGTCGTCGTCATCCTGGCCTTCACTTTGCTCGGCAATGTTGCTGGCACAATGTACGCGGTCACCCTCAACTTCCAGACAGTCGCACCAGTCTTCTCGCGCGTTCCGCGATACATCTACGCCATTGTTGTTACGGCCATCATGATCCCCGTCGCCATCAAGGCCGCTGACGACTTTTTCCTGAGCCTCGAAAACTTTGTGGCTGTCATCGCCTACTGGTCTGCCGCCTTCATCGGCATCGTCCTGGTAGAACACTTTGTCTTTCGCAAGGCCAATTACAAGGCATACAACCATGACGAGTGGAACGATGCATCGAGGCTGCCGAGCGGACTCGCTGCCATTGGCGCAGGGTTTCTGAGCTTTGGCCTCATCATCCCCTGCATGGACCAGGCATGGTACACTGGGCCGATTGCAAAGACGACGGGCGACTTGGGCTTCGAGGTGGCCTTTGTGCTAAGCTCTTTGCTCTATCTCCCGCTGCGATATGCTGAGAAGCGTGTGCTGCAGAGGTAGGGGCAGTAGTTTGGGGCAGCCGAGCATCAACTGCTCACCAGGTGGTAAAATTAAATACTCGTAGATAAAGCTTAATGCATCATGATCGACACGCTTTTGTGAAATCAAGAGGGACAGCCCAAAATATCGTGGGGAGAAGCTGCCGCAATCCATACGGAAAGCCGCCAAGCTGGGTTTCACCTCGATCCCATAGGAATCTATCACATTGCTTCGCCTTCTTAACAAACACACCCTCTCACCTACACAACTATCCGCGTCAGCTTCAACCTGAAGCAGCCCATCTCAGGCCGACTAGGACTCATCTGTAAGCTCTAAGACCAACTAGTCACCCTCACAGCCGAGAATGGTCGGGCCGGCGCTAGCCAAGTACTAGTTCTCGCAAAAGTCATCAATCTTCTTACGGTACTTACATGATGAACATCAGACGTCGTTTCAGAGAGAAAGCTAAACGAACTCATGGACACCAGTGGGGCTCCACCCAACGTGTGCGGCAGGCCCCCATTCGTGAAGGGACTCGTTCGGCCGTGCTGAGTTTGTTTCGTCTTATCTACATCCTCAGCATTTTGCTCGCGATGCATCACGGAAGGAGAACCTCGTGTTGATCCTGGCTTTAGCCGATCTCCAGCATGGTGCCTTTCCTGTCTAGATCATAAAGGTTCTCCTAAGCTCCCAGGATGTTGGCTGGCCTCGTCCGAAGAAGCGGGTATCGTTCTGCCAATCTCTCACTTCACCCACTCTCTTCGCCGATTATTGCTTTGAACAAACCTGCACATCATGATCGTCGGTCAGTCTCATTTCAAGAGCCTGGCGTTCCGGGTGACAGTCACACTCGTGAACTACATCGGGCTTGTGACTGCCAACGTCATCATCGTTATCGTCTTCCTCGGCGGCCTGCATGGTCTGTTTAGCCCACTCGCCATTATCCTTCTGTTCATAGCCATTCCGGAGGTCAGCTTCTACCTTGTTTGGTTCCTCCCATACCGCTCCCGCCTGCAAGGCCACGGTCCGAAGCCGATGCCCCTCTCAAGAGGCCTTCGCATGTCCATTTTCAAGCGTGGTCTGGACCACGTTCCAGACGTTGAGCAATACATCCGCAAGTGGCATTCAAATGCTCATAACGATGACATTCGCCAGGACAATTACAAGGAATGGCTACTTTGGGCACTTTTTGACCGTGACGGGGATCTAGGTGACAATAGCGCGGAACTCGATGAGTACATTCAGTACGTGGAGGAGAAGGGCGAGCTCAAAATTAAAAAGGGTCAGGGAGATGCTGTTCCAATACGCCTAACGTTTGATACCGTCGAGATGACGCACCGCAGCCTGACGTTTTACACAGTAAGTTACCTGCACTTTGTATTTGTATTCTGGGGGACATCAGGCTGACCAGCCAGCTTGTTGGGCTTGCCGACGTCATCACAACAGTCATGTTTCTCGCCAAAGGCTTCGAATTCTACCGCCAGCCGCGGTCGACCTTTTTCACGACGTTTCCCTTTCGATTCAAGACACTTCTGTCCCCTCACGCCTCACCATGCGCTCAACTCTCGTATTTCCACCGCCCGCATACCTCATCGACGCATCGTCCTGTCATCTTCCTACATGGCGGTGGTGTCGGCCTAGCTGCCTATAGTCAGTGGCTCACTTCCCTACCACGCGATGTCGGCGTCCTCGCCCTCGAGATTCTGCCCATCTCCAGCCGCATCAGTGGCCCCTTGCCAACAACGCACGAGCTCCTCTCCGCCCTCGCAGCCATTCTCTACAAGCACGACGTGAAGGACGCCATACTCATAGGGCACTCTTTCGGCACGCTCCTGACGTCACCGATGCTGCAGAGGCCCGATATTGCAGGACGTATCGCCTCCATTATCCTCGCCGACCCCGTCTCGCTGCTCCTGCACCTACCCGACGTGTCCTATAACCTCACGCGTCGCGCGCCACGACCGGGTCGACCGAACGATTGGCAGACCCGTTTCTGGGCGAGCGATCCCGGCATGGCACATACGCTGGCGCGACGGCTATGCTGGCATGACTTTGTGCTGTGGACAGAACAGCTCCAGGGGCGACGGACGACGGTCGTTCTAGGGGGCGACGATAGCGTCGTGAACGCGGACGCTGTGGCGAGTTATATATACTATGGCGATGTCAAGTATTCGCGTCAGGACAGGCGCGAATGGAGGACGACGCCGGAGCGGTGGACGGGCCAGGAGGAATTGGCGCTGCTGTATCTCGAGGGGAAGGATCATGGACATGCATTCCTCAGCGCGGAGGGCATGAAGAGCATGACACGTGTAGTCGAGGCTTATGGGGCCCTGACCCAGACATGGGGGACGCGAGCGGTGGACATGGCCAAGTTAGAAGAGGGGTTGGAGAGTCCACCGATGGTGCCGCCCAAGAGCAAACCCGTGGACTCGATACGGGAGATGAGGATCTTAGAGGCCTCGGCCAAGACGGAACCGCTTTCGGGGAGGAAACGATGGCTCTAAGTGCATGGAGACCGATGACTTGATGATAATGCATTTTCTTTCTTACACAAGAGTCACGGAAGATGTGAGGCGGCGTGTGCGCTCCTGAAAAGAAAGTCTTGGGCTGACCGTCGTAACTTCTACAGACTACATACGGGGCACGAACGAAGCTTGCTCTGAGCTCAACACACTGCATGCATTTGGGCAGCCATGCGCAAAGCAGAGCTTTTTCATCGCCCAGGGGCATCCGTCAGGGGTACATACCTTACGCCGAACTTCTTCTCCTTGACCACCGTACCGTCCTCCTTTTTGTCAACCGTCCAAATATACTGGTTCCCGCTACCATCCTCATCCGCAACCGGAATGAACAGCCTGAAATAGAACATTAGCACAATCTCCGTCGTCTTGTCTAGGAACAGGGCACGCACCGTCCCGGAGACCGCAACTGGTCGACGAGCGTCTGATGCAACTCGACAGCCGCCGCACCCACATGAATAGCATCCCATACGTCATTGCCGTCCTCCGTCCACCCAGCTCTTCCGTCGCCCGTGCAGAACTTGACCCTGCCGCTTCCGAGAAACCCTCCGCCCTCTTCGCTCTTGGTCATGTTGCCCTCACCCAGCTGCCGCAGCTCGTCGATATGCTCAACGCCCACAACTGTGCCGCTCTCGCCCACGAGCTCCGCGAGCAGATGTGTCAGGTAGCCCGAGCCAGAGCCAATGTCCAGCACCCGCGGCGCCGGCGTTCGTTGCGAGGGGACGACAAAGGGCAACAACGACTCGGCGGCCATGGCATGCATGTGCGGGGCGGAAATGGTGGCGCCGTGGCCGATGGACTGCGGATGGTCTGCGTAGGGCGACTTGGGAGCGTAGTGCGCGCGATCGACCTGAGGAAAGCGTCAGCAAGGGACGGGGAATGTGAGTGGTGGAGGAGTGAGTGGTGGAGGAGAGGAGAGGCTCGCACCTTTAGAAAGGCATCTTTGACACGCTCGTCTTTGATGAGGCTGTTGCGCCAGAGGTTCTCGGCCAGGGCCTGATTTGTGTCGCCCGAGCTGCGCCAGGCCATGGCGAGTGCGCGAGCTAAGGATCGCGGGAGGGGAATTGTGCTCGGCCAAGCTTTCGATTGGGTTCGATTCGAGTGAGGGTGCAGGCGATCGCACTGCAATGGCTGTGTTGTGGGATGAGTCTGCCCCGCAGTGTTGATGGTGAATTGAGGTTCAGCGTTTACAACCTTCAGTCATGTGCTCTGACGGCTGATGATGCAACTCATCCACCTAGTTGAGGGGCAAATCGCGAAAGCCAACAATACATTTCTACTCTGCTATACACATCATCTCTACAACACGGAGAGGAAGATGAACAGGACATGAAATAATATCATGGAGTCGGTCTCCGGCCAACATGTGCAGTGTCCCATTCATGTGATTGCGAATTATCTTATAATGCGATGTATAATAACCCTACCCGAAAACGCCCTGTACCCATCCCTCATACAACCCGCTCCGTGGACTCGCCAGTCGCAATAATCGGCACAGGCAGGCCTCTGTCCGGGCTCTGCATCACCAGCTGCTCGTGTCGCCGCGCGCGCAGGAACTCGGAGATGGAGCGGATCAGGATGAACCACCCAACAATCATCAAGATATACGAAATCCAGTCCGATCCGCTCATGTCGCCGATTCCGCCTGCCTCGCCTGCCACGGCATCCGGGTTGAAGTTGTGCGAGTTGGGGTCAGGCGGACTGGCGTATCCGTCTTCTCCATTCATCGGTGGCGCGTTATCGCCCTCAGTCGGGCCGCCGCGGAGGTAGAAGCCATACTGGATCATCTGGATGCCGAGGCCGGCAAGAGATCCATTCTTCGAAGCGTGTGACGAGTGAAGGAGATATGTAAGGAGGAAGCCAACGAGCTGGAAGAACATGGAGATCATGGCGTTCCACAGGAAGCTGAAGAGGGAGCCGACCGGCATGCCGTCGATGTAGACTTCGTCAGCGCCGCCGAGGCCAGGCGCGAGAATCGTCGTCTCCCAGTAGGGTGGTGCTGCGTCGAGTGCTGCTTGTTCATATGTCTGTCATGTGTTAGCACAAAGCGGTCGTGTGATCGTACGACGTTCAGACGTACCGGTGGCATTTCCTCCTTTTCCTCTGTCGCTCGCTCCGGCTTCGCCATGAGGTTGGAGAAGACACCGCCATTGTCGGTGCCGGCACCGTACACACGGTAAGGTGTAGTCGAGGCACCTGATGGCTGGGATGGAGGGAACTGGGGTATCGATTGATCGGTAGGACTCTCGGTCGGGGTATCGGGACGGGAGGCACCGCGCGAGTTGCCGCCGCGTACTAGACGTTGTCTGTCGTCGCCTTCGTCATCGCTGTCGTCGCCGTCGGTATCAAAGGCATCGGCAAGGGTCGGATCAACGCGGGAACGTTCTCGTGAGGATTGGCGTGAGTGGAAGGATGGCGGTGGTGAGTTGGGAGTTATGTTGGATCGTGTGCGGGAATCGTCCTCGTCTTGGGCATGAACCTATATGGTGTCAGATGGCGAACAAGGGTCACATTCAAAGTCAATAACATACCCGCTCGTATCGGCTGGTCATGATGTCGATGGTGTGGGATTTTGTTTTTGGGTCAAGAGCAGGCTCCCTCTCCCCTTGTTCTCCACTACCAAACTCAAGGCAGAAGTGTCAATCGGCTGACGAAGTCGACGAGTCGGGTGAACGAACGCTGGCTGAAAGAAAGGAACGGGCGCAGGAATGCAGTATCGAAAGGCGCAAAGGAAACGGAAGTATCGTCGAGAGAATGATGAAGGAAGGGAAAGGGTCAAAGGGGCGACTGTGTATCTTGGGGTTCTAGGACGAAACGGTTGGCGTGGACAGCCCGGAACTGCGGTCAGGGAGTTCGATTGGGGAAGGGGGGCGGTAGGTGGCAGGCGGTAGCAGCAAGGCGGCGGCGACACGACAGGCGGCCATGCATGATCATCAGACAGAGAGGCCTCTCCCGCCAAGGCCATGGCGCCCCAGCCAGAATTGGGCAAGCTTAGTCAATGCCAAGCCCCGAATCCGAGCGGATCGAGAACGAGCCTCGCCACGACTGGATGCATCCTACCATGTAAAGCTTTGCTGCTTTAACCGCGTTTTGGCTTCGAGGGGGACAGCGGAACTAATCTACAGTGAGCCTGATCCAAGGGCGGCGAGGACACTAACTCCATTGACTTGTTGCCTTCGCCATGGGTCGTCTTGGTCCGAAAGTGCTGGAATGCCCCGCCATGAACCAACTGGTGGGCACATTCATGCGCAACAAAGGCTGACGAATCAGGGGCTGACACTAGCACTAAGCTCAGGCAGCCAATCAGAAGCCCCTGAACAGGTGCTTGTCAAGACCCTGTCGGAGAGCGCGCGCCGTGCTGGAAAAAAGTCCTGACGTCTGCGATTGCGACAGTGACCCTCCGTGCCTCCGATTCAAGTGCTATTATCTCGGGATCCTCCATCCCCCGCCCATCCCAGCCCGCCAAACGATGCCGTGAGGGTCCATCTTGCACATCAATCTCGACACAATGGCACGCCCCGCAAGCGTATGTTTGCCGTCCCTCCGCCGACCCTACCAAGATCGCGACATCTGCTGACGATCCCCCAGCAAGCCCTCAAGCACTACCAGCGCGCCCTGGCCACATGGCCCAAGGACGAGCTGCGGCCACAGGTCCAATTCGCCGAGTTCCTCAAGCGCGGCGTTGAGAAGCGTCTCGCTGCTGGTGCCGCGACACCCGCTGCTGAGCAAAAGGAGCTCGCACAGGTCAACGCCCTCTACAGCCTGGCTGAGGACCGCTACGCGAAGAGGGTATGTTCCCCTGGTTCACATCTGGTGTTCGCGCAACGATGGCTGACGATGCACAGTTTCCCCTCGGACCGAAGATTTCCAAGCCCCAGAGTCAGCCGACATACTTCAAAGACCTACTGCGTGAGCTCGAGGAGGCACCGAGCAGGACGTGGCTGCAGAGCATGTCCAAGAGGTTATCGGGCATGTTCCGATGGGAATAGAGATATTGTGATACCATGAAGAGGTCTGTCATGCAAACGGGCAAGCGGCACGAAGTAAACATGGACCGAAAGGTCACCAGAACAAGCGGCATGTACAACAGGAATGTACAACACTTGTATGATCATATATAAATTCTATGTCCCACAAAGACGCCAATTTTCTCTCTGTTCCCTGAAATCCCACCATGAATTCCGACGTCGCTACAGGTATCGCCCGTCGGGGTCCAGCTTGTCCATGAAGTCGATACTCTTCTCGTACATGGTGAAGACGAGTCCGCCACTGACCACCAGTCGAGCGAGACGGGGCAGCGCGCCGCTCCAGAAGGTCAGGACGCCCTCGTGCTTAAAGATGAGTGCCGCACACCGGAAGCTGTTTCCGTACTGTGACCTCGCCTCGATGCTCTGCATGCGCGTCTTGATGGTATCGAGTGGCTGTGTCACGTATACTGTGATCAAACCCGCCAGGCCGCCCATAGCAAACGTGCCCGCAGCACCGAGCTTCTCGCCGGGGGCCGTGTAGCCTTCGGCCATTTGCTTCAGCATGTTGTAGGCGCCAAATCGAGTCGCACTGTTGGCCGCCTGCCGAGCTGTCGTCGGCACGAAGCCCTGGAAGAAGCCGCGGATGCCACGCTCGCGTGCGATGATGGGTACTGCGTGGAGGAAGCCACGCATGCGAGGCTTGGGTGACTTGCGGTCGTCGATCCTGAAAGGTCAGCCATCGGGTTTTGCATTATTGGTGATAAGAGCGACGTACAGTGTCGTCTTGATGCTCTCAAAGGGCGTCACGGCCAGCGCCGATTCGGTCACACCTGCGCCAAAGCCAGCAATTACCGTCTTAGGCCCCGATATGTTGCCATCAGCGTCTGCCAAGAGCGTCTTGTACTGGTCGAAAGCGACGAATCCTGGATATCTCTTTTTAGCCATGTGCTCCGCCTCTCTGAATCCATAGCCACCCACGGATGCCCGCCTTGAGCGAGTTGCCTATGATGAGCGTTGTGCAGCCGGCGTACCACTGTGCGCCGAAGGGGGGCCACGGTAGCTTCTTTCCATCTGTCAGTTGTCGGTTGAGCTGCGAGCGCGTCTTCGCGACTATGAATTGTCAGGGTCATCATCACCACGACGTCAATTGGAGACCATACATTCGGCCGGGTAGGTTATGGCTGGGCAGGTTAGCTTGATATCTTCTCTGAACGTGCACAATGCGTCATACCAATCTCGAGGGCGCCCGCCGTCGAACCAGCGATAATGGAGCGCAGGACGCTGGGCCGCTTCTTCGCGAGCTGCTGCGACTCGGTGGTAGGCGTCGCGGTGGCCATGACGAGGATTGGCTGTCGTCGCGCTTGGGCCGGCGTTTGGTGTGGTGTTTGTCGTGGGAATGAAGCACGACAAAATCGACGTCACGTCAGTGTCCACCATTTGCATGCGCTCGCAGCTACCATTTCGGTGGATGCCGGCCTTCGGAGCAGACACTGGTGGGGCCGACCACGGCACCAAGCCATATGATGCCGAGGTACGTACCGCCAGTGCTGGCCCTCAGCGCCAGCAACGACCAGCCTGTGCCTCTCATGGCATCCGATCATGTGCAGGTTTATGGGCAAATAGAAAAGAATGCATGTCATTTTCTTGAGAAATTCGGGCCTAGTATGTAACTTGTTGAGAATTGCGAAGCCGTGTGAATCGACACAGGGTCCGAGATCGGGCTTTCGAGACTCATCCCTCAAACTGCCGCTTGCGAGCCAAAAGCGATGTCGTGCAAGGCTATCATGCGGCTCTGAGGGCTACATGGTCTTAGGGACTATTGCCTTTGACGCTTGGTGGCTTTGGGCCGTGACCATGGCGTCAAATATTCGCATCTTGAAACGCGGGGCAGCAACCCGCCGCCCGACTGGCGTCCCGCCATCTGGACAGGCATTCTATCCCCGGTCAATTTTTGACAGTCTTGCCATCTCCTGAGGCCTTTCCTTTCGTCAATGTATCCCACGCGGTTCCAGTCATCTGAATGATAACTTTGATGCGATGTCTCTCTGCCTCTCCGTTCACATAACCAGGCTTTGCGGTTCGCGACTGCTGCTTGACGGGCGGTGTCAACAGGCCCCATGCGTGATGCAGGAAAGGTACTCATTCGCTCCTGGGCTGGGTTCTTCGATACATCGAGGACCAAATATGTGAAAGTCTGGTTGCTGAAGACAATGTGCCGGTTTTGTGCCGCAGCTCGGAGACCTCTTGCCCCGAATGCCCATTGGAGAAAATAGCTATACACCACAGGTTGTCAAAGGGCATTCGATTCATGACGCGTGATCTGACCACTGATAATAGGAGAAAGCTGATGAACGCTGTGCAAGACGACTTGAAGGAACACAAGCACCAGCCAGTTTCAGGACACCCTGAGGCCATCGCTTAGGCGACGGCTATTGATCGTAAATCATATAAGGCATCAAGATATCTAGGAATCGGTACGATAAAATGATATTCATACCTGGAGAAGAGTTTATAAGTGCTGTCAGTACCTTTTGATGTTCTATTCAATCTCCAAGTCGTTCTTCTATGCTCGACTTTGACCATGGCATCTCTGCCGCCACAGGGCAAGATATCAGATCTCAACATTGAGCGCCGTACTCAATGATCGCAAACACGCCTTCAGGAAATTCTGTGCCGCCTCCTCAGTCTGCCAAGCGTCATTGTACGCCGCCGCAAGATTCAACTGCCCTTGGTGAGATGTAAGGAAGAGCCCAAATCCGTTGCGCATCTCTTCTCCGGTGATCCACGGCCTGCTCACGCGAAACGCACCAATTTTGGACGGCAGGATACCGTCTATACGGCCTAAACTCAATAGAGTCACGCCTGGCGTTGAAGACGGTTGTGGTCCAGGTGCAGGGTTCTTCTTAATCTTCGGGAGAGTCTGCAGCCAGCCGGTCCAAACAGTGGGCGCAAGTAGGCCATGTTCAGTGTCGTCAGCTACCCGACGATACAGGGCGCTGATCTCCGGTAGAACGTGTTCGAAATCATCTTTGGAGGACTTCTCGTCTGTCTTCGGAGGGATCACCAGGTCGCAAGCGAAACACGAGCCCGAATGGTAGGCCGTGACGGGGTGCTTGTTCGAATTGTAGGGCGCGGCGCAGAATGGCCTCAGATTGCGCAACAGGTCCCAGCGAAAGTAGAAGGTCTCATTCTTTGCGCCTTCAGGGACAAGATCTCGCAGAACGATAGGAATCACGGCGTTCACGGCGTGGGTGACGGTTGCACCAAGTTTTTTGCAGGCCGCGAGGATGCTTGCTGACGTTTGAGAATCCAAGGTGATGTCAGTTCGCTGATGCCGGCCAGGTGACTGAGCGCCATGTACAAAGGGCGGCGAAAGATAAAGCTTCGATTCGGGCGCACGCGTCTTGGAGAAAGCGACATGTTCTGCGGTCATCTGGGCGACTCTTTTCTGTAGAGCTGGTGTGAATTGTTGAGGCACTCCAGCCGCCGCGCGGTACGAAGGACTCAAATTCCGGGTCTCGGTACCATTGAAGTCGGGGATCCCATCTGTGACATCCTGCTCGAAGATGCGAGACGCATGTTCCAAAAGATTCTTCAGTAGCAACAGCGTCCCGACGCCATCGATTGTGTCGTGAGGAGCTCGAAAGACAATATCGCGACAGTCCGATGAATCGTCATGTGAAGACGGTCTGATAACGAAAAGGGTCGGCAGGCTAGGCGCTGGCGGATCAGAGTTGGCAAATTCGACACCACTTTGGCCGGTTGCGATTTCGATAAAAGTTGATGATAGCCACGCCTCCCTTTCAGCATCATTCTGAAGAGTGCGATACTCCCGCGTGAACCGCTCCGTAGCAAAATCGTAATTTACTTCGGAAGCGACCGATGGATGGTCATGGCGTATACGACACCAGGCTTCTCTTAAGAGCTGCTTAGATCCCTGTGCAAGCTTGAAGGCATCTGGTTAATTGCAGCGAGGCGTGTCCCAGTTATGGCAACCGGTCTCCTTCCCTGTGTGTCGTGAGCCCTGGCCGCCTGGGCCCAAAATGTCTCGACCTCATCGATATCTCGGTGCCAGATTCCAGGCGCAACTTCGGCCCAGGCCAGCGATCTCTGGATGGTGGACATAGTCTGAAAGAGCAACGGAAAATTTCGGCGTAAGAGGAATTCTATGACCTCTTTCGAGATCTCTGAGGTTGTAGACACGGTGGCCCTCTTTAAACCAGCTGGCCATACTAGATCACCCAGCCCGTTGGGTTGCGGAATATCTCAACTTGCTGAGGCCTAATTCTTAAGTCCGGATGAGTCGTGAACTTTCTTGCTCGATCCCCATTCAAGAATGCCCGCCAGGGGTCTGGTAGATCTGAATGCGGCAAGTCATTGTATTAGCGTTGTTCCAATCCCGCTGCTTTGCCAGATGTGGATGGGTTTAGCCAATAGCATTTTATTAGTAAGTAGTGCTGTTGGTGCAGGGGAACATGGCCCGCGATGGACACCGGAGTTAACGATTTTCGACAGGCGGCTGTGGCACCGTGTTTCAAGCATATCCTCTTGAGGCCACGACCCAACTTGAAAAGAAAAGAACGGAGGCAACGAAGTACCTAGGCGAGCATAGGTCTCTTCGTTGGGAGTTCGAAGCACAAGTGGACAGCTGACGAGGCATAATCCGGGCAGTGCAGGCCACGAAATGTAACCCGAATACGCGGCCAGTGTACATATAACTTCCACTGTCTTTTGGTCGGAGACAAAGGCCGGGTCGGCCTTCTACCTAACGGTCCTCAACCGCCCCCCGTTTCGGTCATCGAGAGCCGGGCGGAAAGATGGTGCTCCACCTACCTCATGGCCAGCCGGCGAAGCAGCCGTCACCTGCATGAAGCTTGGGCTCATTTTCTGGTCACGAGGCAGGTTTGGTCCAGGTAGGCGAAAGCGCGCCAGTTCGCGGGGCTGTAGACGACTGCACTTGCGTCACGTTCAAGCCGGTAGAGAAATGAAATGGCATCAGCCAGCCGAAGCAACTCTGCGTGCTGAAAGTCTGGCTGTAAGTGCCGAAAGCTTCTTCGAGTCACAGCCCACTGGCAGGCTGCCGAGCCCAGCGTACATCCCAAAGACTGGCGAAATTGGGTTTCTCCCCCGTGAGAAATCACTGTTCCGTGCGCGGCTGACGACTCAGGCACTCTGGCTCGGGGCCGGGGTCGATCCTCGGCATGACCGCGCCGCAAGGTATGTATATCCAGATGGAAAGTCGGCCTGAGGTCGGCAAGCCCGGAGGCCCGTTCGTTCCTGTTGGTCGTGTCCGAGGTAGCTTGTGATGTATGGCATCCGGGATTCACGGATAGTTTTCAAGGCTCTCCTTCCATTGCTGTGCCGGCAACGTGACGGCTTCCGTATTGCGCTCCGTCACGTGGAAGGTGAAGGATGAAAGGGGAGTCACGCAGGGGCTGTGTCTGAACTTGGTCTGCGTTGGGTGAGGTCATAAGTCTTACATTGCGAGCCCAGAGCCACGCCGGACAAAGTTGATGCTTTGTCGACCTGGCGTGCGTTAGCTGGAAATAGAACCAGCTACGCATCAAGAGAGGAGATGAGTGGGTACATTACGGTTGAGATGATGTACCAAAAATTGATGATGGACCCTTTCTAGTGAGGCGATCAACAAGCGACGAACCTACGACGATGAATGGCAAGGCGGAGAGGAGAGGAGCACCAAGCTGCCATTCTAGGGCTGAGGCTGCTAGGTACCGACCAGAAACATCAAAATGGTACTGTAGCACTGCACTATTGATGTGGCTTGAGGGCGTCACCCGCGGCGAGTGTGATGACGTGGCACAGTGCAGTGCAGGCGAATGCGCACAGGACACCCGCTGGCTCGGCGAGGACGACCTAATTTCAGGGCCTTCAGCGCGCAAAGTCATGTCCTTCAGGGGCCGAAGGCTTGGTTCTCCAGGGGCTGCTCAGACCCCCAAATATCCTGCCCCCCAAAGCTCTGGGAACCCTGGCCTCGGTAGGGGCGAGGCGGGACACCACATCAAAGACAACTCACGAATGGATCGCCCATCCCAGGACCTACCTTGTCTGGATTTTTGCCCAATACATCAGCATCACTGGGGTTGATCGACACGGTTATCTTTGTTTTCTCGGGAGGCGGCTTCAGGCCGTCGGACATTGATCAAATGGCCGCCTATCAAGCGAGGAGCCAGAGGAGGAGTCAGAAGGGGGGCCATGATGAGCACAGCCACAGTTTCCACGTCGCCCTTCTCAGATGCCCTGGATACCTGACCGCCAGATTAGGTAGGGAAAGGGGTCACTTAGGTAGCACTTGTTGCGCCTGCCCGCTCTGAGGCGCGCTAGGTAACGAACAACAGCTGAGCTGACGACGTGTTCGCCATCGTCCCAACGACCACGACCCATCACGGCGGCCGTCAACGAACAGCAGACCAAGAGGCCAACTGACGAGGGATTGGAGTCCAGACGACACTCCAGACTTCAGACGACGTACACCACCATAAGCCATACGCATGAACCTGACACTCGAACCTTGACGA